TTGTGTGAAAAATAAAAAGCGCACAGGTGATCAAATACCACTGAAAGAAAGCTCTATTTGTGTGAAAAAAAGGACGTAAATTTCGTTTGGGTGCAGCATTGCATGACCGCGCAATTATCAGTTGAATTAGTGCAGCGCCGAGTAGCAAAAAGAGGCGTGGTCATTAAGGGGGGTAAATCCTCAGGAGGGCAAGTGGTTAATGTACTGCCACTGGTCACTACTGCATTTGTGCTACTTTAGTGGCCAGTGTTAATTAATCCCTAATACTGCAGCATGAAGGGGTGAATAAACACTGCCACTGTCTACTAATGCAGCACAAACTGGTTAATTCACACAGCCACTGATCACTAATGGGGAGGGATAACTAAATAGCACTGCCACACTGATCATTGCAGAAAGATTAAAATAGAATTGCAGCATAAACCTAAATAGCCTTAAAAATGCCCCCCCCCCCCCCCCCCCCCTATGCTGAATAAAAGTTTCAGGCCGCTCCAACCTGGTCATATGATATCCTCTTTGTGAGCCAGCAGCACATGCAGTGGGAGTGTTGGCAACATCTGGGGCATGGAAGCCAATGGGTGACATCACCACTCAAGCTTTACCATCTGTGATCGGAGCACTCTGGCTGATACAGGGAAGATCACTTGACTAGACTGTAGTGGTCTAAAAAAAAGTACATCTTTTTTTTTTTCTTTATACAGGTTGGTCAGCATAGGTCTTGGGGGGGGGGGGGGGGGGGCAATTTTAAAGTTAGCTAGGTTCAGTCTGGAATCCACTTTAAAGGCTATCAATGAAGGGGTGTTTAGAAAACATAATTCCACTGACAACCTATGATGTGGATTATTTTTGCTGCTACTGACACCAGTGCGGAGGGTTATTATTGTGGAAACTGCCACTGATGCTGGGGGTTATTATTACAGAAAAAGACATCTATGCTAGGTGTTATTATAGTGTAAACTGCCACTGATGCTTGAGGTTGTTATTGCAGAAACTGGCACTGATGCTGTGGGTTATTATCATGGAAACTGCCATTTATGCTATGGGTTATTGTTTCAAACTGACTTTGTCCTGGCACTGGGTATATGTATATGTTTTAGTGTAAGATAAAATACAGAGGGGTGCTTTGGGAGGTGGTGGGTGCAGGGGCGGACTGACAACTCATGGGGCCCCCGGGCAATAGGGGATCATGGGGCCCCTGTGTCCTTGCCCAAACTCAAAAAAGCCTATGAAAAATGTACCAGGGGCATCTCAAGGGGCCCCCTACTGACCCTGGGCCCTCGGGCAGTGCCCAAGTTTCCAAATGGTCAGTCTGCCCCTGGGTGGGTGGTTTCAATGCTGAAGTTCTACTTTAACTTACTGTACATTTTAATAAAATATACTAACATAGAAATATTTACTATATCTGTGGAAAGTGGTCTCATAATATAAGATATAAAAAAAATCAGGTAATGACATATAAGTTGTGCTCTAATAGTCCCAAATATAGCAAAATAGAAAATGGCAAATATGCAAAGAAACAGTGGAAAAATGGCTGCTTTGCTTAGTGGAAATGTGCAGCAAGTGAATTGACCATACACATTGGTGTTCATTTGCTAAAACTGGAGAGTGCACAATTTGGTGCAGCTGTGCATGCTAGCCAATCAGATTCTAACTTCAGATTGTTCAATTAACCTCCCTGGCGGTACGATTATTTCAGATTTTTAGTGCTGACAGCGGTACCATTATTTTGCATGGAAATTTGGCGTTTTATATTGTAGGCTGTACTTCTTAGGAATAACTCATTGAAATCTGTCCGAACAAGAGTCTAGTAAACATCCCGGGTAGGATAAAATTCAAGAGAGGATTTTGCTCACTTTAGAAACCGCAGCTTAGCATTGCATACCGTTATTAAGCTTATGATCTACCAGAACCCTCAGATCCTTCTCCACCATTGATTCCCCCAGTTGTACCCCCCCTAGTATGTATGATGCATGCATATTCTGTGCCCCCAAGTGCATAACTTTACATTTATCAACATTAACCTCCCTGGCAGTATGATTATTTCAGATTTTTGGTGCTGAAAGCGGTACCATTATTTTGCATGGAAATATGTATTTTTTTTATTGTAGGCTGTAATATTTAGGAATAACTCACTGAAATCTGTCCGAACAAGAATCTAGTAAACATCCCGAGTATTATAAAACTTGAAACACGAAATCATAAATTATAATTTAATAAATAATCATAAAAAATAATAATATAATAATAATACATTTAATTCAATAATATAAAAGAACCAAAAACACTGAAATTTGAAATATAGCGCCAAGTTCGCACATCACTGAGCAAAGTCGCAAAATCGTTTTCAGTGTCTGATGACGAATTTCCCCCACGAATCATTATCACTCAATTCTGCAAGTGGTTCTGATTTACTATCGCTGTTCTCTAGCCGGTCTAAAACCGCTTTTGACCTAAAGGGACGCTTTTTGGACGCCATGGACATTTCTCAGTTTCCAGGCAGAAAGAACAGACAAAATGCAGGCAGGGCGCCGGACAAAGCACTCGGGACAAAAATATATGTGAAATGGGTTGATACAGTAATGTTATACTATGTGATTTTAGTGATTTTAATGAATGTCGCTTTTTGTCATTTTTAAATTTCCCGCCGTTCCGTTCCCCGTACGTCCCGACGCTCCCAGGGGACGGAACCCAGATGACAGATGCCAGCATCCGCCATATTACATTGCCGGGGACACTGCAGGAGGGACATCGCGGGGAGCGCAGGACAAGGTAAGTGATCGAGGGATCGTGGAGCTGCGCCACATGGTATTCCCGAGTGTAGCTCGGGGTTACCGCTTGTGGTACTGAAACTTTACCCCGAGCTACACTCGGGAATACCGCCAGGGAGGTTAAACTTTCACCAAAAAAAATGGAAGCTGATTGGTTTGTATGATAAGTAAATATAAATGGCGCCTACAGAAAAGATCTTAATCTTATTAGCCAAATGGCCAATGTCTGTTCTACCAGCTGCAAAATCCGCCCTATAATCATAAGGTGTATAAACAGAAAAACAAACAATTTGTGCTAGCAAAAATATAAATACAAATATATGTGAATAAATGTCCCAAAAAAATATATAAATAAACATAAAGTCCAATAAAGTGAAAAAATACACTGAAAAAAGCATGACAATACACCACCAAATATACTAAATTAACTCACCAGAGCTAAATGCTGATAATAATCTGCATAAAGCGCTATTTGCTTTGGGAGCGATGGTCAGCAGGCTGATGAAACAAGTGAATTGACCATACACATTGGTGTTCATTTGCTAAAACTGGAGAGTGCAAAATGTGGTGCAGCTGTGCATGCTAGCCAATCAGTTTCTAACTTCAGATTGTTCAATTAAGCTTTCACAAAAAAAAAAAAATGGAAGCTGGCTGGTTTCTATGCAGAGCTGCAAAATATTTTCACTCTCCAATTTTAGTAAATCAACCCCATTGTTTTCCTAGATTTTTCCTATATGCCATATAGGAAAATTCACAAAGTGCAGAAATCGCCAAGAGAATTTTTCAAAGCTAATGTGTAATTAAACCTCAATATTTTTGTGTGAATTAACCCTTTGAGAGGAAAAGCATTGTATAATTGATACTTGTTCTAAACACTGGCATGTAAAGTACTCAATAAATATTTATATAAACATGATTTTTTAATTCTAGATTAATGGGATGTTAATAGCATTCTTCTCATAATTATTCAATTTTTTTTTGACAGTAATGTTTTAAAGGAACGGCTCTGAACACAGAGCCTGTGCCAAAGTGCAATGTATTCAAACTGTATGATTTATGTTATATATATATATACTGTCTAATTTTAACTCAAAATTAAATTTTATCATCTTAGAAATACTGTATGTAATAGCCATTTTGCTATGGAGCTGGTATAAACACATAACACAATTAAAAGTGCTGCAGGATGTACTCTTTATGCCCACATTTACTCATTTCCTGATAAGGTATAAGAGAAATTCAGCGTCGCAGTTCCTTCCTTGCAGTATTCAACAGGAACAAAAAGTGTTGCTTCGTCACTTGGGGATTCGAGAATTTTTCCTTGAAATTAAAGCCTTTGAGAGTTCAAAGGATAGATCATTGACGTTCTAAACCTGTTCTGTTTTCCTCTGACTAAATGGCCTTGAATTATTTCCCTGTGACAATCCTTTACATTGTTATATATATACATGTATACAAAAATAGATAGATAGATAGATAGATACATCGATCGATCTTGCAGTATTAATGAACACCAATTTATCTTTAGAAATAACTAATTATTTGAATGTGATAAAAATGTCTATATATCTCAATACATGTTTAAGTGTTACTAAACCCCACAACAGTAAAATCAGTCTGTATATGCAGTATAGCATGCTTGTTATACTCACTGTGGACAAAAGCAATAACTCTGCAGCTCCTCAAAGGGGTTAATGCCAGGAAAAGACCAGGGAATCAGGTGTGTGGATGACCTATAGATAAAGTCCTGGTAATGCAGCCCTCCTCAGGTTGGGAGATCAACGAAACTGAAAAAAAGCACACAGGTGGCGCAAACACCTAGCGCATTATCCAAGGTTTGTAAAAAATGTATAAAAAGACATAAACATAATCACAAAATGATGGCAGAGTGTCCGACTGGTGCGGTCGGCCTGCTGACGAGTGTCGGGGATGTGTCCCTTTCCTCAGAGCTCTGTGGCCTCACAGGCTTTTTATGCACCTATTTCGTGAGTATGTTTATTGTCTTTTTAAACATTTTAATAAACCTTGGATAATGTGCTAGGTGTTTGAGCCACCTGTGTGCTTTTTTCCTATACTCACTGTGGAACCTAAGGGGTTAATACTCTGCATTGTGTACAAAGGCTGACTTCTCTGATCCTCCCCTTCTTCCAGTGTCCCCCTCATATCTCCTGATAAGACATATCATGTAAAGTCACTCTGCACATGCTCAGTTTGCTGTGTATTGCTACAGAGGTGGTTTATTTCTTCAGAGAGTGTGCATGTGATCAGCACAGGACAAATCAACACTGTCCAGGCAGAGGTCGGGGGTCCTGCATCCTTCTAGAGCAGAATGAAAACTACCCCTACAAGCTTTTAACATGTGCTCTGCTGGACACTGATAGAAGTAACAAGACTGCTCTAACTGCTGATGAGAAAAGGCATTTAGCAGTTTATATTTACTAAAATAATTGCATTTCCATGTTCTGTGTACTGTGGGAGACCAGATATAGTGGATGCAGGGTCCTGGGTTTAGTAATACTTTATGTCTTGACAGTGCAGTAGAAAATAACATCTGACTAGGTAACGTCATATGGTCACATGTGTTTTGCTCTTGTACAGTCCATGCCTTTCTGTTGGATGTTGATGTCAAAGATTTACTTAAGTGAAACCACCACTAGGTCTTTGAACTCAACAACTTTTTTACAGAGGACATAAAACCTCTGCCAGTAAGTGGACATGCCATACGTTATCAGAAATGGTAAAACTGCCATTAGATCTAAACGTCATCTATGAGGTTGAAGCACAATTCCAGCCAAAACCCTTTGTTTAGTTATTGCTTTGGTAGGAAGGATTGGACATTTTTTTGGAAAGTGGAAAACGTGTCTCCAAACCTTGCAGGATAAAAACTACTGTCAGGCAATACAACTGATGTGATCTATTTAAAGACAGAGACAGTGGGGGTGATCGTCTCCTGTTCCTACCTCTAGCTCAGCTGGATTAAAAAAAAATCCAGTGCTTCCAGGCATGGGGGAAGCATGTGACCTCCTCCAATCTGACTGTGCTTGAGTCAAGCATTCAATCAATAGGCCTGAGTACTGCTGCAACCTAATGACAGGGCGTGACATTACCGCTACTTCTAGGGTCTGACACCAGACAACAGCAGTTATTTTGATGCCGGCTGCAATCGAGGCTAGAAATGGTGTAGGATCATTTAAAAGGTGAGTATCAGTGGATTGGGGGAGTGAGAGACTGTGACATTACCACTTCTTCTAGGGTATGACACCAGCCAACACCAATTATTTTGATGCCGGCTACAATTGAGGCTAGAAATGGTGTAGGATCATTTAAAAGGTGAGTATCAGTGGATTGCGGGGGTGAGAGACTGTGAAATTATTACTTCTTCTAGGGTCTGACACCAGACAACACCAATTATTTTGATGCCAGATACAATTGAGGCTAGAAATGGTGTAGAATCATTTAAACAGTATCAGTGGATTGGGAGAGTGAGAGACTGTGAAATTACCACTTCTTCTAGAGTCTGACACCAGACAACACCAGTTATTTTGATGCCGGCTGCAATTGAGGCTAGAAATGGTGTAGGACCATTTAAAAGGTGAGTATCAGTGGATTGCGGGAGTGAGAGACTGCTGCAATTTCACCTAAAAACTAAGTCATTCCCAGTGACTCACAAATCACCATAGTGCTAGTGTATTTCCACATTGCTGGCAATGTATCTGCATTTTTTGCTACAAAACGAACCATTGTGCAACACTAGCCATGTTTTCAATGTGCTGGTTAACAGAGGACACTGTCAGCCTGCCTTTTTTTTTGCACTTGCCAGCAAAGCTGACACTTGTTAAACTAATAACATATTTTTGTCTGAGAGGAAAAAAGTAGGTACTCTGCAATAGTGACTGTTACTCATATTTTCTAAAGCTTGCCAATGCTTTCTCTTTCTGCCTTCTGCCTTCTGCAAATTTTTCAATTGATCAGTAAAGCTGCCCATTAAAAGCGATAGGCCAATGTCAACATGGCCTAACATACACCAGTGATGGGAAGGCTTGGGAGATTGGTGCAAATATATTCAGGAACCTCTAAAGGTCTACACCTAAACCTGCAGTGATTTGTCTCTCTTTCTCTAAAAAGAGTTGTCACACCAAAGAGTCACTTAAATACCAATGAGCAGAGGATAGACTCTTGGAGTACAAAGAAACTGCATCAAAGCACTACACTATCCAAAAAAAATAATGCATTTGCTAGTCTTCTAGATATACAACCCACAAACATCATAAAACCATACATACAGGACGTTAAAGCAGAACTTCACCCTCACAGTCAACACTGACTATCTTTCATCCTTATGCTGCTAGCATTAGTAAATAGATAGTAATGTATGCCATATATACTTGTTTTAAATTTTTTGTTACATTTCTTCAGTTACTTCCTAGTTTCCATGCCTAGGCAAATGATGACATACATCCCAGGAGTCTTCAGGAGGGCTTTTCTCAGATTAGCACACTCTCCTGCCTACATGCCTGAGCCAAGTGCAGATAGACTCCAGGAAGTAAGTGCAACATAAATCTCCTGCCCTTACTCAAGATGGTCACAGCCAGAAATGCAAGGGGGTGTTTTTAACCACTTCCAGTCCGGACACTTTTACCCCTTTCCTGTCCATGGTAATTTTCAGCTTTCAGCGCTATCACACTTTGAATGACAATTGCGCGGTCATGCAACACTGTACCCAAATAAATGTTTTACCATTTTTTTGAGACAGATAAAGCTTTATTTTGATGATATTTATTCACCGCTGGGATTTTAATTTTTTTTTGCTATGTAAATGAAAGTCCAAAAATTTTGAAAAAAAAGTGTTTTTTTAATAAAATTTTGCAAATAAATAAATTTCATCAAAAATCTTGGCCAAAATTTATTCCGTTATCTTTTTAGTAAAAAAAAAAAATCCAATAACCAAAAATAATTTTTAAACATTTTTTAATTTTTTTTATTTTATTTATATTATTTTTATTTTTTTTTCTTTACATACTGTCACCTTAGCAGTACAGTGTCACCATGGTACTTTTGTGGGGGTGATGAATATATATATTTTTTTTTTACACTGATTGCTTTTACACCCATAAAGGCTGGAAAAGCAATAATTTCTCTTTCTCTCTGTCTGCATTCTTGCAGTCATTGAGAAGTACTGAGTGAGCTGTGATTGGTCAGAGCTTGTCACATGGTACAAGGCTGTTGTGAATAGCCTTTGTACCATGTGACCTCTGTGATTATTCACAGATTTCACACGTAGTAAGCAATGATGTCACAAGTGACATCTTGCTCACTACTTTGCATGTGATCACTGATTGGCCAATCAGTGATCACATGATCCGGACCTCGTACAGAGGTCCCGTCCGACGATCGGTGAAGGACACAGCGGGCACCGGATCGCGGTGCTGCGTGCTCCCAGGGAGCGCACACAAGCAGGGTGCGGGGAGGCCGTTTATAAACGGCCATCCATTCCCTGCACTGCCCACCGTCCAGCCGTTTATATACAACGGCCGGTCGGGAAGTGGTTAATCATGATTTCTCAGCAGAATAAAGCATGGAGACATGGATGGATGGGAGAGTTTGCTTTGATATAAAAGATGAATTAAACAGTGTTTTCGGTTTGCGGTGCTGATATGCAGTTCACACCTTTTTATAGTGCAGAACACAACTGCATTACAGATAATGTGTGCAGAGTGCATCCGTCATTTGCTTTTGTTATGCTGTGGTGAACCGCAGTTAACAATCTTGTGATAGTAATTATATACAGGTTAATGCATTGGCTTGCTTATATTTTGAATTATCATATTAAAAGTTTCATAAAAGTAATTTTAGATGTGACCTACACATTGTTACTTTCAAAATTAAATGTGTAGATTCTATCTCTGTATGTTAGACCTTGCAGTTAGAAACCTTACTGAGTGACTGCTGAGATCAAAGCATAAGCTGTGTTTGAAAAAACGATATTTCCTTCTAAAGACTTGGAAGAAAAACAACTATGTTTCACACTCATTGCACTTTTAATTAGTGTTTTTCAGAGTTAATGATATACTGTTAAACATGACAAAAGATCTAATAAATTACTTACCAAAAGATAGAAAAATAAGGGAAATCAGAGATCAAATATTTTTCATAACATTATATATCAGAAACAAAAGGAAGGACAAACAACTTCGCATTTTCTGTTGAAATTTCCTTACATTTAAAATCAGAAACCATTTACTATAAATTGAAAAAAAAATTGTATTGGCTGTCTGCCAAATTGAATGTAGCAGGAAGGAGGAGAACTCTTTAACTGCTTCCAGACTGCCCTATAGCAGAAATACTGCTACAGGGCGGCACGGGTGTGTAAAATCACATACATATATGTCATTTTGCATTTCCGGGTAGGGGGTGCACGCTCTACCCACACTGCCATTTGCGGCCACGGCTATCATTCTCCGGATCCTTGCCGGTGATTACCCGCTGGCACCCGGTGATTACCGAGCATCTCCGACGTGGAGGAGGACTGTTTTGTTTACTAGCAGTTCTCCTCCCTGTTAGCTCGGGCACACTGCTTTGGATGGCTGTGCACATTACAAAATCAAATTTCATAATAAATTTAGGCCAATATGTATTCTGCTACATGTCTTTGCTAAAAAAAAATCCCAATACAGGTAAATGAATTGGTTTATGTGAAAGTTATAGCGTTTACAAATGGTGGTATAGATACTGGAATTTTTTTTTCAACTAGTAATGGGGGCGATCAGCGACTTTATAGCGAGAATGCGGTGGACATTCTGACACTGGGGGGAACTGACTTGGTGTCACTGTCATCCCCAGTGACACCAATACAGTGATCAGTGCTAAAAAAAGCACTGACACTGTACTAATGGCACTGGGCAGGAAGGGGTCAACATGAGGGGCGATCAAAGGGTTAACTATGTGCATGGAGTGTTTTACTAGGGGACGATGTGTTGGTGCTTCACTGTAAGCACACTGCTCTGGATGGCTGTGCTGTGCACAGCCATCCAGAGCAGTGTGCCCGAGACGACAGGGAGGAGGACTGTTAGTAAACAAAACAGTCTTCCTCCCTGTTGGTGATCATTGGAAATCTCCGGTGATTGACAGCCGTGAATGGAACTGCAAAATCATGTATATATATATGTGATGTTGTGCACCCGTCCCTCCCGGTAGCAATATTTCTGCTATAGGGCTGACAGGAAGCATGGGAAAAAAGGACGTAAACTTCATTTGAATGCAGCGTTACATGACTGCACAATTGTTAATTAACCATTAGCCGCCCAGCCTATAGCCATTTGGCGGCATCAAAAACGCTTTAGCTTTCCGGGTGCAGTTCGCGCGGTTGCAGAGCCGCGCAGTGGCGCGATCTGTCACCGGCCGTGTACCTCGGACATGGCAGATGACAGATCTGAGTACCAGCC